GTTAAAGACTATACACATTTTTCCTGGACTCAGCTCAAAAAGTGAACAAATAGCCTATAATCCATATAACTGTATGCAACACTTCCATGATATACAAAATATAGAAAATTGTAGTTATATATCATATATATATTGTTCTAAATAATGTTCATTGGCCACAGGATCAAACAAAAGATGAACAAGTCCTAATTGTAATGGGAACCATGTCCCCCTAACTACCCCTGCAGATGAAATAATACATGTTGATATCACAATAGTGTTTGAAGTGTCAAAATACACCAACAAACCAAATTTTGAGGACAGGAAATGGCTGCCATTTTGTTGAAATGTGAAATTGAAGTTATAAGAGTGATCGTTTACCTAAAATACACCTAAATATCAAAGGATAGAAATTGGAAATAAATTTTAAAATTTTGACCAACCAAATTTACTAGAAATTGGACAATATTTAAATTTTGACCAATCAGAGGCCAGGAAATGGTGGCCATTTTGTTGAAAAGTAAAACCAATGTTACGAAAATGATCATTGTCCCATAATACACCTACATACCAATGTCCCATAATACATGTACACCTACATACCAAATTTGATCGAAATCAGACAATATTTTAATTTTGAACATTTGTAGGCCAGGAAATGGCAGCCATTTTGTTTAACCACATTACAAATATTGCAGTTGTTTTCGTAAGGCCATACTACACCTACATACCAGATTTCAACAAAAATTGGACAATATATGAATTTTGACCAATCACATATATGACTCCATTTGGTTTCCATGGCAACTAATTGAAAAATTAAAGGTCATTTGCACTTTGCCTTGTGTTCATACACAATCAAAGCAAAAAAGCCCAGGTCCAGAGGCCTGAGACAGATTTTGTCTGTACATGTGGGCAAGTAAATTTCGGTGACTTCTTACCCAATATAAAGCAAAGCAAATACAAAGTAATCTTTACCTTCTCCGAAGATGCTACCAATTTAGTTTCATAACTTTTGAACATGAACTTGCCTGAAGGACATGTGATGCTAAAATTTTATTTCTTGCCCTGTCAATCATGTAAAGGTTCATTGAATTCTGCCATATGGTTTTTGAGAAAAGTGGCAGAAACAATTTTCCAAAAGAAAGAAACTGGAAGAAATAATAATGATAGCAATCAAAATCCGAGCAAAGACAATATGTCAGTTATACGATAGCATATATGACAAAGGTCAAATGCACATAAATATTCATATATTACTGATCAATACAGAAACTGTATCAATTAACAGCTGAGTTTTCATTAAGATGGAATATTGAAAAGTTGATCATGAGTCTAAATGCATGAAGACAATTTCATATCAGATTTTTCTACACATGCGAGATATGCTCTGGTCAAGCAACTTGCATAACGTATAACTTGTGACCCTTGTATATATGTACCTGATTTTAATATACTCAACACTTCTGTCAGACAGTCACACAAAAGTTAGATAGATGGGGTGCAAACACATCTAAACTCTGAATAGTTGCACTATATCAGCAGTTAAAGGTGGAGGTTATCATAAAACTTACCACCTCTTTTACGTCGGGTGATTTCCTTTTTTTCTTTGACTGCCATGTGGCATAGGAACATGCCTTAGTCTTGAAAGTTGCTGAAGCAGGCATTGCCCACACTATTTCTGCATATGTCAAACGCCTGAAATTACATAATGTTTTTTTTTTTAATTTTTGCTTTCAACAACATATCACATGACTAGAGAGTTGATAATAATAATCTTATTTTTAAAATGGTATGGATTACCATGATCTACCATAGCCATTTGTATTAAAACCTTTAAATATATTCCTCTGAATAACCAAAACAACATGGGAATTATAGACAAGTAGCATGCCTGGTTGAAAGAGTATATCCCATATATAAATAGTACTTCTTAAGTTATTTAGAAACTCAATTAATACTACTGGTTATATTCTATGGAACATTTTTGTTGTGTATAATATATTGGCATGTTTACAACTTTCTGCCTCATATAATGCTTCATTAACCAAGATCGCAAACATATATATAACTGTGAGTGTGATACTATGCTAGTGTCGTATATAATATTATCCAATTAAAATGGTTTGCAAAACTTGAATGGGTTTTAGAGACCAAGCTGATTTTTACAACTATATTCCAACGGAGGAGTGGTTTTAAAAGTCTTTGAAGGGCCCAGGATTCATTGTGTTATTATCTAAATAACATTTGTTAAATATGATTTTTATCTCAAGTTATAGCATTCTCCGATAAAGGACTGTCTGATCAACTTTATCCTAAAGTCAAAGAAGTCACGTGTGAAAACCTGATTTTGTTTTTTGTGCAAATAATTCTGTTACACAATCACTAAATACTAATGACGCTTTCAGACTGTAAATAAAACTATCTACATATTGTTTTGTAATATATTAATTTTGGCCATGATAGCTGAATGATAGTAGGGTACTTACATATTGATTGACTTTATCACGGACTTAGATAGCAATTCTATTCTAATTCCGTGACTTTATTAAGACAATATTTATACTAATAACAAAAATTACAACACGTCGATGCTGAGAGCCGAACACTTACACACGTATCCCGACACATATAGAAAGTGGGAATGTAAAGTGGGGGTCTACAGTATACGTGGTAATTCATATTTTTTTGTTCTCCTTGGAGTAAACAAAGTAATAGGTGTCAAATGAAATAAAAGGAACACCCCGGCGGTCCCCATCCCGGTGCACCGATTTTTTGCACGATCTTGCTATCGTTCGATGATGGGTAGGGAGGGGCAAAATGTTAAATAACACTACAGCAAGCTGTGATCATGTTCATAATAGCTTAGTGTTAAATATTTTAATTTATTCATACACCAACATGAACGTTAAATACCAACCATTCGTCTTCAATCGAGCAATTTCCATTCTGACTCTGTATATACATCGTCTCTGTCGCCATCTTGTTATTCCCTCGCAGTCTCAGCCACAACCGGTGATGATTGGTCGGCCAATCAAAATTCGTGTCTTAAAGTTGTTATTACAAATAAGGTCTTTACACATTTTCTCCCATCCGGACCCTGCGTACACGGTACCGTTCTTGAGTTTATTGGTGTCTACCTAGTCGTTTATTCTGTTTCCATAGTAGCATTCATTCGCGGTAACACGTGCTTCCGGGTCTGATTCTTGTATGATTAGACCTAACTCCGCCCTAAACTCTGAGCTCTGTGCTGGATGAGAAATAGTCTTTACCTTCTCAGTGAGGGACTGTGCAGCTGTCTGACGCCACTCCAGGTAAGACGTATTTTGTCGAGCTAAGTAATCCAATGATTTAAGTATTCTCTGTCCCCCATTCTTCCAAACTTCGGGGTTGGGATATGACTATAATACACCTCTATACCAAATTTCAATTTGATATTTGAAAAATTGACCAAGTTATGATGAATTGAATTTTACGATCTGCGACTCGCCCATGTGTATTAACCTATACAGTTAAGAAAGCGTCGCCAGACAAAATCTTTGAAAATACTTACTAAAGTAAGCGACATCAGAGGATATGTGATTGATATGAATTGCATGTACCTATATACCGAATTTCAGCTAGATATTTGAAAAGAATGACCGAGTAATGATAAATTTAATTTTTACGATGGGCGGCGTGGTAAACGTGTATAAAGAAATCCACAGATCCTGAAGCGTCTTCAAACTATATCTCTAAAAATAATCTAGAAAGTAAGCAACATCAGACGATATGTTATTCATATGACTATAACACACTTTTATACAAAGTTTCAGGTCGATATTTGATCAAATGCCCAAGTGATCGTGAGGTATTTAAGTGTTATGAGTATACGTACATGTATGACGCTCTGGGCGTGTCACATATGTCTATCTGTACGTAAGACTTCGATTGGGGTTCGACGATTTACAGGAACGGGCAGAAATGGGCAGGAACGGGCAGAAACAGACAGAAACGGGCAGAAGTAATATAGACATAAATGTATATATATAATTTAGTCCGATCCTCCCCCGATCATGTAATTGCAATCCTTTTATCAAATAAATCTTATACCCGATAATGATACTTAAATGTATCTAATATATATATTCATTAATGTATATAATAATTAATAGATTGCAGCCCGTTTCTGCCCGGTTCTGTCCGTTTCTGCCCGTTCCTGCCCGTTTCTGCCCGTTCCTGCCCGTTCCTGTAAATCGTCTAACCGCTTCGATTGTATAGCTGAACACCGCCAGCCCGGATCATATTACTATATAAACATTGTTTCAATGACATGCTGTGATGAAATAATCAATTACGTGAAGAGCCATATTTTTTTAATGAATGTATGTATTGTATGGACTTCCACTTATGTTACCTCGCTATCCCCATATTCATAGGGGTGTAGAGAGCGAAAGTGAGCGTAACCCCTGGATATCGAGGATGTACCGCACTATGAAACCAAGTAATATGATTTCTAAGTCCGTATTCAAACTTATTGAACAGTAATTATTCATCATCAGAAGTTAATTGCACACTTGCCAATATTCAGAATTTAAATTTATTTAGCTTTAAACATATTTGTTGCCAATAAAATTGAACAAGGGATGGGGCACAAGTTTTTACAATTTATCACAGCCTTCTCCCGTCATACATTTAAAATTAAATGTCAACAATGATAATAGGCATAAACATAAAGTAGATATATATAAATATATATTGAATTTAGTACTGGCACAGATGGTACGGGGCTAAACACCTTCCCTCAACCATGGGACAAACCTTTCTGTAAAAAGTAATATTCACGAGATGAATATCCCTTTTCAAATGTTTTCATAAAGTGCATAAATGCAATGACAAACCACACGCGTATAAAAAAGAGAAACGTTAAAAATAACATTGTATAGCTCAATGTCTTTGGCAAATTTTCACTGTCTCCATACGCTAACACTTAGTAAGTCATATTAGCCATCACACACAATAAACTGTATGGCAAAACCATTACGTGTACATGATAAAAAATTTGGCCTGATTGTCCATAGCTTATCTTACTTGTAAATCAGCTTTTGGATAAATATGTCTGAATGGCAGGTCTTAAGATGATACGGCACAGTAATTGATCATCATATTTCTGACTAAATCTCCATAACTTGGATTATTCCTATACTTCAGTGGTCGTGGATCATCTCATAGGTATTCAATCTCTTTGGTGCTATCGAATCAACTTTTAAAGGTTGACCTGTAATTAAATTTGATCATTATTATTTTAAGGAACAATGGCATATCACATTCATTTGATTAAGACATAAAATATTCACAAAAATTGAATTTTAGTTTACGAAGCAAATGAAACTAAATCCCTCGAATCGATGCAAGTTTGGTAGAACTTGTGTCAAGTGTGATCTTTAATGAGTTGTAATATTTTTGTTTTAAATGTAAAGATGATGGACGCCAAGTGATGGCAATAGCTCAAACCGCCCTTTAGGTCAGGTTAGAATCCTGAGGGATATTTTTGATATAACCATAAGACGAAAAAAGATTTATTTTTTCTCATACAGCCATGAAACATAAATAAAAAAATTACCATTGTATTGTGCTTTTGGCTTATGAAAAGTTTGCAGGCCTTCAGTGCAAGACTTTTCAATCAGAATATATCCCTTGTTAGATAGATGTTCCAACATCAACATGACTGCTGCTATATGCTTGCATGTAGCATTAGGCCCTTTGCCTGCTGGACATTCACAACATGAATTTAAAGGTGTTCCTGTGTTCCTTTCCAGTCTGATCTTGTAATTGTAAGTGACCTGTGATATAAATAAATAAGAAATGATAAAAGAAGTTAATCCTGCTTATCAAAAAAAATTAGATTTTGACTTTATATTCCAACACACTACACATTATTCCCTATTGTAACATGATTAACAGCACAGCAACCAAAACAAGTGCATGGGTGGGTGATATTTGTGAACATTGTGTTGCTCTTGGTTTCCTTGCTCTTTCTTTTTTTAGGCCTTCAAGAACTGGTGGCTTGTTGTCTCAATGTGGTGTAGTTCGCGCTGCATCGAAGAGCATGCTGTGAGCTCTGGATGTCTTTTGTGTGTGTAAGATGATTTGGTGGTGTCTTCGTGCCATTGTCTCATATTATTTCATTTTCACATCGACAAGACAGATCCAAACCATGATGTTATGACTGTGTTTTGTTGGTGTTCAAAATCATAAATACACGTATATGTAATTAGTGCACAAAAACTTCTGAGATCTACATGTATATGGGATAAAGTACTGTTAATTCAGAAATTCTTGAGACTAATGCGATTGGGTGTATATTGGAATAATAAGAATTCGCAGTCTGAAATATGATACATGTATTTGTATACAGCTTTTCTAAAAATTGAAATAATTAATCCGGCATTTTTGCCTGTCGTGTCAAAATTTAAATAATAATTTCACGCAACAATTTCTGAATTTACAATATTCACCATTATAATCTGAAAAAAATGTACCTACTTTTTCATGGCTGCACATACTATTCCGCTCAAAACAATGTCTGATGTAATTTGAACAGAACATGCCAAAATCTTGCTAGCATCAAGTAAAGCTGTCCCTTTCTCCAGGGCCTTGATGTATCCAGTTACCTGCTTATCCCCTAAAGGCAAATAAGAAAACAATAGTATATTAACATGTTAAAACTATACAGCAATTTCTATATACATTTCACTTCAATAGCAAATATGCAGTGGGGTTTAAGGGTTGACGTCAAAGGGAAGTGTTTAATGACCTTGACTTATCAGAAGAATCTTGCACATTGGTTTTGTAAAGGTACATTTTTTCTGTGTTTATTTTCATCAAGTTGCATACATATTCATGATGATGTACATTAACTAAAAACTTAATATAAGCCTTATTTTACAAGAATCCGTTGAATGCTAGAATAATAGATCATGAATAAAGTATTCAGATGAGAGAAAAATGATATGTTTTCCATATTCAATGTGTTACCTGCTAGTCTATACAAAAAAATAGCCATCAATCTGTTCCTTTGTAACTTTCGAGAACATCAGCTTGTGGTCCTTTGTTAGCTGTCTGTAACCACATCTTGGCCAAACAACATCTTCAGAATCTGGCAGTATGATTGGAGAAGCCTTGAAGTTGTGATTTCTGTCATATGCCTGTAATCTTAAAAAAAAATTGTATAAAGTATTGTAATTTTTTCTGACTGCCCTTAAACAAGGTAGGGCGGTAAATACCCCGCCCCCGCTATTTACCAGTGGTATTTACCGGTATTCACTGCCCCGGTTAATACTCCTCAAGTGGTCAATACTGGCAAATACTGGTACATTGAAATTGTCATGGTTCTTTTGACAGACTTAACTATCAATTCTAGTAAAACATTGGTTGATGGGGGAAATTGTTTAACTTTATTCCTTTGGCATGATTCATTTTAGACAAACGAATGATATTGGTATGTTTTATTAATAATTAACATGAAAAAAGGCTAATTTAGTTTTTAGGGGTTATGATATTGCTTACTTTAGGTATATATAAAATTGCTATATTAAACTTTTTTAACCTGAATAAATCAAGATATTTTACATGTAAATATAATTACAGGGGACTAGAATATCAGACCATTACCTATTATATGGCTTACAGGTGTGAAAAGTCCAATTACTATAACAACTGCCCCCCAATAAATGTTGACGTAACAGGAAAAAGGTTATAAAAGTTATTTTTGAAGACTGTTTAAAACAACAAATCAACTCCTGACTTTTTAACAGCATGATAAAATCTTCTAAATGCAGGAAATGGAAAGTTTGAAGGATCTATACTCTTATGGCTGCTGTTTTTATCTTTTTCTTTAATATTTTATTTCAATAATCACTGTCCATCAGAATGTAGGAAAAAAAGTCACGGAAAAAGTCATGGAAAAAAATCACAGGAAATAAAGTCACAATAATAAATTTATAAGTAATTTGTTGAATTATTTTCTAACTTGTATTTGTTCTTTCTTTTATTTTCAGATTTTCTCCAAAAAATCAGTTAAATGTTTAAAACGATTATTTAATTTTTATTTTTTTTTCTCTTTCATAAACTTTTTATGGAACTTTAATTGGTAAATGAATGATTTTTTTTTTAAAATAACTTTATTTCAACATTTTAATTTCTTCCAATGTTTTTACAGTATTATATTCTGTACAGGCAGTTACTGTATGTGTAGATGATTGACAGGATATGTAAATAATAAATTGAAGCCATATAATTAGTCTATAACCTCTCTGTTGTATTGTTTCAGTGAAAACTTGAAATATACATGGACTAAATTTTGTTTATAATTAGAGAAAGTTTATTCAATTGCAATAAACACAAACTTTTAAATAACACACCTTATGATTCTTAAAATCAGCATATTTATACCAAACTTAGAAAGCAATATGATTTTCAAATGCAATCTTTCAAACGGGTTTCTCATCAAAGGATGATGGAATATTCTGAAATAGCTGATTGGTATTACTTAACTACATATACGAAACAAATAATCATGAAATGTCATACAATTTGCTGACTTTTTTCCATTATACAAAATATTGGACATTATTAACTACCTCATTTTTCAATAGTGAACACCTGATTTACGATTTTTTCTGTGACTTCTTTTCGTACATATACCAAATGTTTGAATTTTTTCCTACCAGATTTGCGACTTTTTTCCCCTGTGACTTTTTTTTGTTTACCGTCCAGAATGTGTTCATGTAGAATTTCAATTTATATAAGAAAAAAGAACATTAAAAAAGTCTAATATTGACTTGAACACTTTCATATTTTCATGATTAACAGTAATTGAATGTAGGGCAAAATGTCACAGAACAGAAAGTCACAATTCAGTTTTGAGAGAATATGTCAGCTTACAAGTGTCTAGCTATTGAGATGGTGGCATATACCTGTACATAGGCATGAATGTTTTTACGATCATTGGACCGTATCATACTCGCGGACTGTAATAATTGAACATAGTTCAGCAATATCGCCCTCTCGTCAACAAATTCATAACAAGTTCATGATAATAACAATAATGTAGAAAACATTGCTATTCATATATGTATTGATTGTCCAAATCAAGGAAGCCGGAACCTGTAATACCTGATTACATCGGAGTGCTCCGATCAGAGATTAACGGAGGGAATAACACAAAAGAAGAAGATGGCAGAATGCAAGGTATCGTATCTTATATGTTTATTGTACGGAATAAGTCAACCTTTTATGGAAACATTCAAGTCAATTGTTAATTAAAATATGTTTCCGTGTACTGTGTGACCGTTTATCTTTTGTGGTGTGAACCACTGACATCTTATTGATAAATATTTGAAGCCGCATATACCTCATTCAGCAGATAATCTTGCTGCGGAACCGTAGCTCCTTTGCTTCTTGGGATATATTTTGTATTTGCGGACCATATTGTATATATGTTTTGGTAATTGCGGAAATACAAAACAATCTATCAACGATCATATGAGATATGGTTCCGCAGCTACTGATATGAGGCGCGGATTCAGTCAAAATTATTGAACCTCCAAATATTTATGGACCTCCTGAATTTTTTCAGGACCTCCATTATTCGATTTCAGGATATCTTGAAATATTTCATGACCTCCATAATTTGATGTCAGGACCATCATAAGTCGTTTTCAAGATATCCTGAAATATTTCAGAACCTCCAAAGAATATCGGTCATAATTGCTTTATTTCAGGAGGTCCAATGAGACAACTATCCAACCGAGTCTTAATGACGTAGATGTAAGCTATATATAGGTCACTGTACGGCCACCATCAATGAGCAAAAACCATACTGTATAGTTAGCTATAAAAGACACTGACATGATAAAATGAGAAACAATTCAAACGAGAAAACCAACGACCTGATTTATAACAAAACAATAAACGAAAAACAAATCTGAAAGACACCAATCAGCGACAACCACTTAACTACAGGCTCTTGACTTGGGTAAATATGTTTTTTCAACCTAAGTAACCTGTTATCTAAATAACATTTTGTAAGGCAAAAACAAAATAAAATAATAGTTCTTTTGGTGATTTTTTTTTTTATTTTACAGAAAGAAAAAGATGAAAGCGATTACATAAATAATGGAGCGGATGGAGATGCCGAAAGTGTTGCAGAAGCCACAAATGAACCTGGAGTTGTGAAAGGACCAGGGCAAGAAAATAAGTTATTAGTAAGCATTTATAATGTGTCCGTATACTATAACGAGCGTACACCAAACATCGATTATTCGTTTAATTATTCTGTTGACATTACCTTTTAAGGTTACAACATCGATGTGTCCATTGAAAGCAGTGTTGTTGATGAAATATAAGAAATTTAACTTCTAGAACATATACCTAACATCTGTTTTGATAACAGAATAGATATTTTTGTTAAAAGATGACTTTTAATTTAAGATTCTAATATATTACAAAAAATAGTTTTATTTGTTTTATTTTACAAGATCTGAACGTTGGGGAGTCGGATTCTCCATTTGCTTTTTCCAAATATAATTTTTGTTATGGAACTTCTTTAAGTATGCGTACACGATAAACAGAAAACATGTGTGGCTCTTGAAAAAGCAAAGGGAGTTAATTCTTGAAGATTGATTGGTTGATGACTGTCCATGTATGCCTTACGTTCTGCGGCCGATATTACATGCATGTGAAGAACGAATATCTTGCATTTAAATGAGTATACTAGATTATAATCTTGCCGCCGGTCGGTGTCTACCACAATATAGCTACCAAATTCAACAAGACTATATTGCCAAATGACAAAAAAAAGTGTGTAAATGTCTAACTATTTTAATTGAATAAATGCGTTTTCAGGTCAGTACAAAAGAAGAAGAAATAGAAGAGCTAACATCTGGTGTGGGATACATTTCATTGACTGGTAAGATTGATCTCTCACTCTCTCTCTCTCTATATATATATATTTATATATATTTTGTAATTCTTCATTCTGCATATATGTATCACAAAGGAAATGTATGTTTTTGTTATTTACACGTGTGGCACATTGGTGCATATGATTCAATTTGTATACGCTGCTTTCATCGATAAAAAAGTGAATGAAATACATTTCTAAGGGTTGAGAACTAAACTATACGACAAATAAGCTTCCATTTCATGTTTAGTAACATTCCAGCAACACTTGCATATGGACTCTCCATTATCTGCGATATTCCAGGGTTAGGGTTTCCTTTCATAATGTCCTTGTTAGGGAAACAAAAAAAAAAATGTTTTCAAAGAATCTATTCAACCAAAGGTGCTTGATGGTAAAGTTGAAGTAATCACTTTGAAAGTTTTACGAATGTCACAATAATTTGATCGACCGGTGTCAACATACATTGTATCTCATTCTTCACTATTTACCACAAGCCCTATGTTCAAGGACAGTAAAAATGTTGTCGGGCCAGATTCGTCTTCCAGAAATGAGACCTTACCAGTCATATGAATTTAATGGAATGTTAGGAGAGACTGGTGTTCGGGCTTGTAAATCAAAAACTCTTTTTTCGCAAAGACTGATATCTGTGTTACAAATAACCAACGCAAGTTCCACTTGGCGTAGCTACAACACGACTGAAGCCACTATCTGACATGTTGACCAAACTGATTTTTTTTTCACTGTGTAAAAATATTCAAATATGAAATCTAAAAGGCTGAGTTCATAGTTTATTTTGTAAGTGCAAATGCGAGAGAACATGGCTTCCAAACGATAAACAAACCTTTTATATTTTCCAGATAATCCTCAACCTTCACTGATAAGACGTGGTTTAGAGCCAATAGACGTTGAAAACTTGCTGATCTCAAAAGTGAAAAGCTTAATCTCAGACAAACCAAATAAAACAGTTATAAAATATATAAAAAAAACACACAGTTGTACGAGAAAATTTTACAGGCCGCAAAGGCAAACTTGATAAAAGAAGGTTTGCTAATAAATTCATGTGTTGGAGAAATATAATTCCTAACGAATCGGACAGACCGGACAAAGTAAAAACCGACGCATCAAACCAAGCCCATGAGTTATTTTTTCAGTCATTAAAGGCCTTGCAATTGTTGGACCTACCAGCAAACACCACTGTGCATGAAGGAAATTTGATGAAAAACGGCATCATGATTACACCAGCAGAATTTTGTAAGGTTGTCGATGACATAACCAAAAAGTTTAGGAGAAAGTATTCGAGAGATTGGCTATTGGGAGAAAAAATCCACATGGAAGCTATCCATCAATCATGTGAAGACATATGCATGCATAGATTTGTTAGGGATATGACTATTTCAAATGATATGCTGAATTTGAAAACCTATGCAGATTGGAGATCACGAGTGTTGGAGTATTCTTGTTTTGCTGCCTTCTTGTATGTGTATTTAGAGAAAACAAAGGGCCATGTCAAGAAATAGACCGATAGTCATTTACCGAGGAAATATATAAGAAAATAAGATACAGTGTTGAAAAAAGACATCAAATGAAAAAGAAAATAATTATGCTTCAATTTGAATTGTTTATTCATTCGTGTCTTCATGTCTTTTCATAAGCATTGCAAAAAAATTATTTTTATGTTATTATCATTTATTTTTAATTTGTGTGCAAAAATGTAAAATTTCTATGTCTCCTTGTGGACAGAGGGTCCCTCGTAACTCGCAGTTTCAGAATCTAAAGGAGTATTGGTTACTCCGTTGATCGTATCCCAAAATTAAAATAATGTAACGTCATTGGTTAAATTGTCATTGAAAAGTTGCAAGCCAACCACAACGTTAATTAGTTATAGTGTACAATTTGAAAATATTACCGAAAATGCTTTTTTAAAATGGAGAAGTTTACTTTCATGAGAAAATGTGTTAATCAATTAATGACGATAAAAATTCGTCTCATCTTACCTTCAGGATGAGTAGTCAAGAATATATACAAAATATTAATTAAGAATTAATGGTACTATGATATTGTAGGCATTCATAGATTACCATGTTCATCCTCACCTAGGCCTGTTGTTGTGAAATTTTTTAACAATGATATAAAAACGATGGTTATGAAAAACAAGAAAATATTACGTCGAGCTGGGATAAGAATAATACATGACATTACAAGGCCCAATATAAATATCATGGACGCAGTAGGAAACAATGAAAACATTGAGTACAGTTGGTTCTTCAATTGCCAAGTGTATGGACTTTGCAATGTGACCAAAAGACGAATGAAATTTTGACTAAAAGACAACATCAAGGACATTTTGTCACAACACATTCAGGATGTGAATGAGTAGCAAACAAACACTGGAAACTAACTGAAAATATTTACTGTGGTATAACTGCACAGGGTGATTGGGATGGACCTCTGAACTGTCTATTAGACCCAATTATCCAGTGGTAAATATATTTGAAGTGTAAATATAGTGTTTGGTTCTGTTTCTGTGTATGGATATAATGACATAAACCCCTCTCATGGTAAGTGCTTCAACTACATGTGTATATCTATGTTTTTCATAAACTGGATTGCTACTTATTTCTAACTTCCACAAGACTTTCAGTTTTGACACTCATTGCTAGAAACGAGTTGAAACGGATACTAAAAACTATGAAATTCCCTTGGTACAAAGATCTAATATGTAAAGAAATTAATATGTTATACTACCAAAGCACTTTTCACATGTATGTATGGATTACTTCCCCTTGCTGATATGACATGAACCTGCCTGCATATATCAAGCTTGATCAGAGTTTGTGTTTTGATGAGAGTCCAATACAAATGTGAAGGATTCAGTTTAAGTAGTGTATAAATCAGAAAGATTTTACAAAGCAAGGGAATATCCAAATTTACAAGCTTAACTATTGAGCATGATTTAAAAAAATAGTCCATTCAAATTTTGTATGGGGAAATAAACCTCATGTTTAGTGAAAATATCCAACATACATAAAAGGGTGCATTGTAATAGTAATGACTTTATGGTCAATTAATATATCACATATCACATGCTATATATATTTTCATATATATTCATAGTATCATTACCCTAATATCTTTTAATTGTATTGTTAAGCAATTATGATCAGTGCTTTCTATATTTAGGATATACTGTAAATGATGCACAAGGTTTTGAGTTCAATGTTATGGAAAATAAGATATCACCAATATCCAAATATTTACAAAAGGGAGATAATCGTGTGGTTAATTGGAAGGGGAGATAATCTTGTTCATTGTGCAAGTTTTTGTGAAACAATTTGAAAATTACAATCAATGTTTTTAGGTTGACGATAATAAAAATTGAAGGTATTTGAAATGTGTTAAATATACATGATCCACATGGTTTTGAGTTCAATGTTATGTAATGCCCTAGGTATCCGAGGAAGAAATATCATAATTGAAACTCTACTCAAAGCTGATAAGTTTAAGGTATGTGTACTAATTTTGTTTATATACTATTGTTAAATACTGTAATTTAGATAATAACACTGAAATTTGTTTTTCCTCATTGAAATATTGAAAAGTCACATAATTTTGTAAATGAGGCATCCGTAATAATCCGTAGTATTAAATTAAGGGAGAAATCGATGTGGAAAATTCAGGAAATTTGAAGGGGAGATAATCTTGTACTTTGTCCATTTTTTTTTGGGATACTATTGGAAAATTACAACCAATGTTGTTTGATTCATTATCATCTAATAGATCATTATACAGGACATCCACCATGGCAAGCTGGTAAGACAAATAATTAAATAAAACAAGGACACCAAATCTGAATTGAATATGGCCGTTTATTACAATAAACGACGGTTGTTATGACGTTCACATTTTGTCATATAAATAGCCCCAAAAAGTCTTAGATGGGGGTCCTATTCCGCCATACACAATATAATTGATGCAATATTAATGCTAGTTGTAATACATAATTTTTACACACAAATACATGATATAACATCGATACATTACTTAACAATCGCATAAGAAAATGTTGTCCACCAATACATAAAGTTATGCACATTCAGAAAATTCTAACAAGAAAGGAGGAAAGTCGGGGATGGTGGTGGGTAAAGTTTAT